CAGGTTTCTGTAGCCTACAGGTCTCCAGTAAGCAGATCTGTAGACAGATCTCTGTCATCCAGGTTCGAGTGCAGTGGCATGACCTCAGCTCACTGCAACCTCTGCCTCCCGGGTTCAAGCGATTCTCCCACCTCAGCCTTCCAAGTAGCAGGGATTACAGGCATGTACCACCACACTCAGCTCATTTTTGTATTTTTAGTAATGACAGGGTTTCACCATGTTGGCCAGGCTGGTCTCAAACTCCTGACCTCAGATGATCCGCCCATCTTGGCCTCCCAAATCGCTGGGATTACAGGCGTGAGCCACGCACCCAGCCAATAGCACCTATTTCTAAGGCTATGGTAAGATTTAAATGGGCTAATGCCGTCCAGTTCTTATAACAGTGCCTGGCACGGATATATACGTTGTTTTGTTATCATTGGTTTCTATTTTGTGTTTTGCTCTCTGCAAATCCAGAGCAATAATACTTGGGTTGTGTTATATAATACTTGTTTAAGCATTATAGGACTATTATAAGAATCTGAATTAGTCTCATAAAGAGCTACGCTTCTGACCCCCAAGGTGGATCCAGAAGGAGGTTCTTTTTCCTCTAAAAGAGGGAGACTTGATGCAGACCCATACATGCAGGGTGTGCATAAAAGTCACCCCAGCTTCATTGCCTCCTGTGACCTTTCCCAGACCCGGTGATAGAGAAGAAGGAGGATCCCTAGCCAAAGGGAGCATTAAACTTTATCATTTTTCACTGTTCCTGGCAGGCTTCTGAGCACACTGACAGTGGGGAAGGAAAGAGGACAGGTTTCTGTAGCCTACAGGTCTCCAGTAAGCAGCATCCTTTCTTGTCGGATAGCAGAGGAGCCCACTCCTGGCAGATCTCAGTGGGTGCAAGAGCTGGGATGGGCACCTTGACTTGTCTCCAGCTGTCCCAGAGAAGAGGGTCCTCCTTCTTCTGGGGTGGGATGCAGGCATCCAGCCAAGCAAGAAGTGGCCAACCTGCTGAAGCACAAGCAACCCACAAACCCACTTTTTGTTTTGTTTTGCTTTAAAAAGCAATTTAATCATCTTAAAACATTTTGTATTGCTTCTCTTTTTTT